CTAACTCAATACCTCATTGGTATTTAAGGCTGAGTGTGACTCCAAATCCAAACTCATCTACCACCCATATTATCTACCCAGAAACAAGTCCAACTTGGGTTTAATTTTGATGCCCTTCAGAAAGAGAAAGAGACCTTGTGCACACTAAAGGCCTTTGCTTAGCCCCTTTTCTCATCCACACTTTCAAAAGTGATTGGGAATGGGTAAAAATAAACAATGTCACATAAATCTATGGGAAGAATAATCCAAATCCAATTCTTTGTCAAAACAGGATGGATATTTTTCACCAATGCATGCAGCCATTGTAGGTAGAAAACATATGGATGTTGACCCACTTGTTGCTTTGAAGTGAACATATCTCAATGTATCAACCACTAGAAAGCAAATCAAACTGCAAAATCAGTGTCTTCTGATCATTTTGTATGGCAAATCACCAAATCAAGAAACAAAGAGCTTCACTAGCTGCTCTCCAAATGTTGAAGAGCTTCAGCTAGAAAAGCTGAGTTGTGTGTTGATGATTTCATGTTTGTGGAATGAAGTGGGAATGGGAACAATGAGCTAAAGTTGAATGACAGCAAAGTGTTTGTATGAGATAGGATAAAATGTTTGACAATTCAGTCAAAATATTATTTCTAATGATATTTCTGTCTTATTCCTGAAATGAGAAGGATTATTTCTATGACTCTTTGAAGGAAGATAAAGTTCTTGCCCCTCATCTTAGGTCACAGTTCAGCAAGATATTCAAGCATGTCACTAACTTTTTCAGGTGATCAAAAGCATCCACTTCTTTTCCATTTGCTGAACCAAAACCTGCAAATACACATGCAAAGACGCTCTTCCAGTGAACTCAAATTCCAAGTAACTTGCATGAATTTGTGTTGGCAGGGTTGGGACTGCATAAGGAACAGTGTTTAGCTCTTACAGTATATATTTTTTTACAGTAAATTTCAAAATGATTTCCAGAGTAGGTTAGTATCACTCCCATTCTATGAAAACAGAGAAAAGCACTTCTTTCTAAGCATATCATTGGGAGAGCCAGGATTATATTCCATATTTTCTGAACAGTAGAACAATTAACTATTTGCAAGGTCATGCAACTTCCTTTTTATGCTTAATAACTTTTCAGTCTTATTGCCCCTTACTTTTGATGGTAGTAGGTGAACTACTGTAGTAAAAACAGAAAGTGCAGGCAGGGAATGGCATGCAAGAAATATGAAAAGAATAAGGCTCAACTGTTACTTGAATGTATATACCTAAGTTTTCTTGAGAGGCTTGATCCAAAGAATGACTCCCTACTAAACATGACATTACTGTAAAGTGAAGAAAAGTTATTAAGATGAGACGTTAATGATTACCCATGAAAAGCTCTATGAAAAAGAATGGGAACAGCCTTTCATTTGTAGTTAATGTAGTGTGGAGATCAGAGTGGCTTTTTTCTCCTTCCTGTTTTGGGCAGATGTATTAAGATGAAATGCTGACAGTGAAATTTTACACCTTGCAAAGTATGGCTTTATTTTCATTTTGTTGCTAACACTGACAATACAAAAATGCACCACAATTTATGAATTCTTTCATACATAATAGGAAGGACTGGTACTGATTATGCAACTTAAAAAAACCAAACCAACTTTCCGAAGGCAGAGAAATATTATTTATCTTGTAGAGATAAGGAAACAGGAATAAATGACTTTTCTGCAATCACATAATAATAGATCTAGGAATGAACATGCTCTCCTGATGTCTAGTTCTACAGCTGGAAAATGAGGATTAGGAACAGGACCCTAGGAGAAAGTTCAAAACTCTTCATTGAAATGCCTGTCTATTCAAGTGCTGAAGTTTCAACACTAGTCAAAATCAGTTGAAGAGCTGCTAACAACAGCACTGAAAAATTAGGCCCAATATTCATTACCAAACTTAGACATAAAAAGTTGGTTCAGAATAAACAATATATCCATCAAGCAAAGGCCCATCTTAAATGTAGGTCAGGCTACCAAATGTTTGCTAAATGATTTGCTGCACTCCAGCAGAAATGAGCATTAGTATCTTTTTCTCATAAATCTTCCTTCTTGAGAGCTGAACAGATGAAAAGGCTTTGCAATACTGGCAGAAGAGCAATTGCTACCTGAGATTTCATGAAGCTGGTAGGCTTTTAATCAGTTTAGGCACTGATTAAGGAAAAAAAAAAAAAAGAAGCTGGAGGTACCTCTGGCATAAAATCAGTAAACTCCCCACCAGTGAGCCATGGATAGCACAGCCCCAGTTCTTCCTGGTTTGGGGAACTATACAGAGACTACAGGGAAAATGCTATTCTTAACAGAGCTGCATCACATGTTCCTCTTCCCTTCATTGCTCACAGGACCCAGTCCTCTTCATCATATCTCATATCTTCACAGTTTTAGTTAAAAGGGAGCTTCAGTAAAGCCTTGAAGGGGCTGCTGCCAAACCTCAATTGGTTTTCTACTATGACAAGTCCTTTCTTGCAGCCTTGCCTTGGTTTCCAACTTCTGAAGTGGACTCTTCCACTCTGTTGTGTCCTCTATGTTTTCCCCAAATGGTCCAAGAACAAGGAGCTGTATGTAGCTGTGTCTTTTTCATAATGCCAGCTCCTGCTTCCAAGGAGTGATCATAGAAGGATCTGTCACAGTGTTTAACTCTAGAACTGTGGAGTTCCTAAAGAGTTTTCACTCCACTCAGTAGAAACCCTGCCACTTAAAGCGCTCCCAATCCTCAAATTTTGAAACAGCCAGGTGTAATTTTTACCTTTATTAAAAGCTTCAGTGAAAGCTTTGGACCAATTCTTCTCTCTTCTTTATCAACCACTGATTAGACAATGCCATTTATTACTACAGCAACTTTCCCATTACGTACTTAACTGATGGAAGAACCTGGAGACTGACGGCATTTATGGGCTGTTCTCCCCAGTAGTACCACGTTCCTGTATTGCTCATTTATTTCAGTACAGCCAAAGCACAAACTGCAGTGGAGTATGAGTAATACATTCTATACTAAATCACTGTAGGAGGAAGAAGATTTTTTTCCCTTTTTTTTTTTTTATTATCTGGTCTGTAAATAAGAGTTTTATGAGAGATGGGAGGTAGGACTGTCAAAACAACCAGATTTTATGGCTCAATCCCAGTTCTGCTGAAGTCAGTGGATGCTCCCACAAGTACCATCATTTGTCTGTTTACCTGGAGGGTTTCCAATGCCTTTAATTGAATGCTTCATTCCATAAACACATTCCTGCTAACAGGAAGGCTCCAAGGCAGGTTTACTGATGATTTTGCTGGAGGTTATTACATATGTAACAACATAAAAGCAAGATATATCCAGCTAGAATGAGGGGGCTTGGGATTATAGTTTTAAAGAGTTTGAGTTGTGAGTCATACTTTTCCATTTTCAATTCAGTGTGTCAAGATAAAATGATTTCTACTCATCTGAAAGCTACACTAACTCAGAAACTACTCCACAAACTGTTTGGCTGCTGCAGGTTCAGGAGCTTCTCTGGGGGGCTGTGACCAACAGTCAACAGCAGCAGCCATTCACTTACCTAATTTTAATCTGTTGCTGCATGTGAGTCAGAACATTTTGACTCAAGGTACGGAATTACATGCTCAAAAGTATTTCAGCCCCTAAGCTCTCTCCTACATATTAAAAACCAGAATTCAGCTGTTGTTGACACTGCAGACGGCTGAAATCTCCAGACATCTATGTTAGTGACTGCTTGGCCTGGGCAGTGCCATGGATGTGGAGTACATAAGATTCCTGAGGGTTCCCAAACTAGGTAGCTCCCATCCAGGCAGTCTTTGAGGAGGAGCAGGTTAGCTCATGATTATGGTGGCAAGAGGGGGAAGACAACCTTTCCCAATAATTTGTCACTACAACACTTGCCTATATTGTAAGAAAACTTGGTATAGGTTTTCCCTTTCTGTTAAAGGAGGTCTGAACCCCAAAAATTCAGAGAACAGCAAGTGTTAATATTTTTTCTCCAACTTCCTTTATTGAAGCTGTTGTGTGTTGCATGAAAAACAAACAAATAAAAGATAATTTTTCATCAGGCCAGGGACTGGAACTCAAGCCTGACCTCTGACTAACATTTTTCAAATATTGCTACAATTCTTGTTCCTTTTCTCTACACTGTAAATAGGGATACAAACAGACCTAGCTTCAGCAGGAGTCTGTGGAGCTGTTTTTCTTTTAATTGCTATTGAATTTCATTATGGATGATCCATTGATAGCAGTCTAGCTTAAAATTTTGCCTCAGAATTACTGTATGTGCCTTTGACTCTTCTACTTAGCTGAAGAGGATTATAAATATATCATTTCCATTTGAGACCTTGCAGGTTGACTGACAATGACTGCTCTGCTGCAGTCTTCAGTGACTGACCAGTATTAGGATTGATGACTCCTTCATTTTCATTGCTTGTAAATTCCCCAGGGTAATGGGGAGCTTTCTCATTTTTTTCAGCAGGGGTGGGACCAAAGCCTCAAATTTAATGTAGCTTTTACAGTACTGCCAGAGAGATTGACTATCCTGCTGTTCCATCTGAGACATCCATATATATTGTTAAGAAATCTTTGCACATGGTAAATCAACAGAGACTTCATCCCTTACACCATAACATTGCTCTATGCAAGACTATGAAACAACAGCATGAAGCAGAACTTTAAATTCCCCCCAGACCAGCCTGGATCCTAAACTCTGGCTCTATGGCACGGATCAGAAGAAATCTAGACCATGATTAATCATAACAAACAATAAAGCTGTTTACAGACAATCAGCAAGCAACACTGCCTTTGTACAGTTAGCATTTTAGCTGTGTTGTTATATTTGGAAAAAAGCAAGCAGTTAGAAAATGGATTGGTTAATAATTTTTTATGGCTACCTGTGGTGTTAGTAGCATGTTTTGGTTAACAGCTCATGAATCCACAAAGAACTATTTAACTTGCATCCTCCAATAACTGTATTAAAACATATATATAAAATAATGGCACCTACATACCTGGCAGTACCATCCAATTGCTCTTTCCTTTTATAGAAGAGAGGAAGCATTACAAGAAAGCAAGGAAAAAGGAGTCATATAATAAATTCAGCAATTTTTTAAATATAAATTACTAATCTACTGCTAATAGATTATACATCTTTTGTTCTGTGACCATAACTGACAGCAGAATAAAAGCGATATTTTCAACTAGCCATAAAGCAAAGAAAGTGATATAGATTCCTGAAACCAATCTGTGCTGCTTAGATTGGCAATCCAGTCTTTGGTGAGAGGTGATCTCTTTTGCCCTCTCTCCCAGAGCCTTATTTGCAAAACACCTATTAAATTTCAGGTTATGTTCAAATCAGAGGAACCTACATACAGTGAACAAGCTTGAAGTCACAGTAATTAGTCTGGACTCTTCAGGAGTCTGAGAATTCTCCTCTAAAAAAAGCCTGAGGTCCAGAAACCCTCTAGAAATTACTCCATAATGGAAAAGGTGAGAATAGACAGATAGTGAGAAAGGTTAAAGAAAAGGAAAGACATGTACTGAACCTTAATTAAACACTTATGGTGGGTTTATTTTTAGAGATTTCCTCTTTGAAGTATATGAAATTGATCCTAAAGAAATATATTGCAAATAAAACAAAGAGTTAGTATTTGCAATTTGCACTTTGTGAAGGCAGGAGCCTGAAACTTTTTAGGTCAGTTTTGAGCAACAGCTGGAGCTGCAGTATTAGTGCAGTGGACACAACTTACATGTGGAGAGCTCTGTTTAAGGGCACTTTTTTTTCAGAATGTGGCCCAACAGCAAGTCTAGAATGAAAGCTTAAAACATTAACTTGGATAAGTAATTTCTATTATTAGCAACTGATAGTCTATTGCTAAAATCTCAGCTTTCACAGGGCCATATAGGTTTTTAAACAACATTTTAAAATTTAAGACCTGAGTGTGAGAAAGGTGCCTGTTTGACAGGTAAGAAAAACGAGAATCAGACAGACTCATGGCCATAAACACATGAGCATCCATTATATCTGAATGTCTTTATGTGTGGAATGCTTTCCAATAAACTCAGAAGTGGTGAATGAAATAAAACCACAACCTCAGAAGAGTTTCCTTTTCGTCAGAACAGTTTTCTGGGAAATATTTGTTACCTACAAAAGTCTCATTGATATGTGTAAAGTCTGTGTTTCCTGTCCTGACTGATACTTCACAGAAATGATGACGGAGAGGCGGACAATGCACTTACCTGAAAAATGGAAATGATACAATTGATTCATAAAACCTCCAGGTAGCAACTAAATCAATCCTGTTGGGGTTAGTAGCATAGTATCTCCAAGCAGCCTGAATTACAGGGGAGAGGAAATAATTAGTGTCAAGTAAAGCTATTCCCCAGGCTGATTGCAGCCAGACTTTCAAAGAACACAACAATGCACCTGAGTGACTATCTAGAATTTAATTACTAATCAGCCATACCAAATGAGTAGCACTATATGGTACAACTACTGACACTGGATTATGATCTAGGAGGGCTGTAAAGGAGACAGAACATGGAGAGAACCACCAATATCAACATGAAATTACATTAGACTAAACTGGTTTTATTCTCCTTTCTGAGAGAGAAAGAGCTTAAAGAGCTTCAAGTGCTGCTGGACTTGTGCAGTAATTCTGGAAGTGCTTAAGATAGTTTATTACCTAATGTATCATCAGAGGAAATTTTGCTGAGCGATTTTCTATTTCAACATTTAGCTCCAATCAAAATTCTCCAAAGAAAATTCTTTAAGCACATACCTAAAACCCACTGTAGCTAAGCAAACTACCTGCTAAGGGAAGATGCTTTGATTTAAAAGATGAATTCCATTCACAACTCATGACTGCAGATCCTTCTGTTTGCTAAAGAGTGTTTTTAATGAGAACAGTGTAATATGCCACTCAGTCTGTTTATCCTGAGGACTGGTTTGATCCTGGGCAGTCCTGAGCACCAACACTTTCATCTGATATCACAGAAACTTTCTCTATCCCTCTGTAAAAATGTTTCTATTTCCTTCACTGCCATCAGGATGCGCTCCATATCTAGTAAGAGTAAGTCCTGTCAAACTTCTCAGCACCAAGACTAGTGATTTGAAGCTTAATTTTCTGAATTAATAATAAAAGCTGTAACTGAAATCCAAGTGAGCTAAGGACTCTCTTCCCAATGAATTCTCAGATCATTCAGTGACATAACAGAAGATCCAGAGTGTGTTTTAGTTTTTTAAAACCATACATTCTATTTATTTGCCTTGATTGAAAGTCGCTGTCTATTGTGTTACTTCTATTGCTGTTTTCACGTCAATACCAACGTAATTTTGTTTGCACATAAAAGCACTCTCTCAAGGGAACTAACAAAACCTGTATTTTGGAAAGAATATGTTTTCAACAGCTTGTTTTCTGTGATTTTGTGGCACTGATGCAGAAGTTAGTTGGTTTCCAGAACCTAGCAGATGAGACCCTTTCTTTAAAGACGTTTTTCTGAAAGATATTCTGGAAGTTGAACAATTCCTCAAAAACTGCAAGGACCTCTGGATTATCTAGCTCGGTGTGAAAAAACTAACAAACACAGCTTCCCACATCCCGGAATGGGAAATGAGAATTTGGGCAGGGGAGAAGTGGTGGCCCTTTTTAACATGATTGAGCAGTCTTCATACACAACACTTTCTCAAGGAAAGCGTAAGTGGCTGCAAACCTGAATGAGTTCAGCTGCTGGCTTTCTTCTTTTCTCAAAATGTTTTTGACGATGTTGCTCCTGGACCTTCAGTGCCAGCCCTGAGCCCAAAATGCCCTGAAAACACAGAGTGATACAAGATTTTAGAGAATTCTTAGAAAAAAATGGATTAATGATGAGAAGAAACAGGTCTGTGGGGGGAGATTGAGACAGCATGTCTTTCCCGCTGCTCCACTCATAAGACAGGAGATGTTCATGGTCTTCTCAAGGACCACAGACCATTTTAAGGTCCTTGACAGGCTTCTTCAATGTCTACTGCCTTTCCAAGCTGGAGGTGTCCATGTGGTGTATTACTTCACGCTCAGGGCAGAGTGAAACTGTGTTTGTGTGATACAAGAGCTCTGCTAAACCATACTCTGGATTTGGGTGTGCAGGACTTGCCATCCTCTGTGAAATTCTTTCCAGGTCCCGATGTAAAGGAAAAGTATCCTAAAATCTGGGCTTGGGACACTTTCTGCTGCTATTCAGCCCATCTCACTCAGATCTTGTCTCATTCTCACCTGAGGACTTTGCTGGCAAGGGAAATACAAGGCTGGGTAAGATGGGCCCAATTCTAATTATCAAAACAATAGGCTGTAAATCCTTCAAAAATATGTCTTGTGGGGCCTATGTCAATACCAGTAAACTAACATGTGCCAGGGTACAGTCTCATGAACTACCTTGTGATTTCCCAGACTGTTCACTTGCTGGATTAATTCTGTTTGTGTGCCAGCCAGCCCTGTCAGACAATGCCCACCCATGATTTGACGAGTACTGGGGGTGGTATATTACTCCCAATAAGCTCTATGCAAAGTTGGGAAGAAACAGGTTTAGTTTACTGATATAGACACCCTCAAGTCTCTGAATTAATTCTTAAAAGGGGATTTGGTTCTACAGAAAGTTCGCTTTATGGTTTTTTTTGCAAGTCCACAGCACTGGGCTGTGTCTAAGAAAGGAGGGGGAAGGTACTTACTGCAGGAAGAGCAAAGAAAGACACTCCAATGAGAGAGAAGGTAGCTGCAATCAGCCGTCCCTCCCATGTTTTGGGGGTCTTGTCGCCGTACCCAATCGTAGCCAGGGTGATCTGTGGGCAGAATGAACAGGACTCCCCATGAGAAAAAAAAGCCAACAGCTCTGCTTTAAATGTCACCACAAAACCTTCATAACTCACTTTGCCCTGTGGGTGCTCATGCACAGCTCCTTGAATAGGATCTTGATGATGGGCCAACCAATTTTCTTTAATGGTGTCACAGTCCCAAGGCATTGCACAGAGAATGCATTTAGTCCTGAAGCAGCTGCCTCTCTAGGATGCATTTGCTGCCAGGGAACTTCATGGGACATTGCCTGTACAGTGAATTTCCCGCCCACCATCAGTGCACAGTTAGGAATGGGACTTGCCAGTTAACAACTTACAGGCCTTTAACAATTAGTCAGGACGAGCTCTGTGTGAGCTCCTGGTCTTTTAAAAACAAAGACGACTTTGTGAAAACTTACTCCTTTCCTTCTCAGTTGTTAATTTCCAGTTGTGTACCTTTTCTCACCAGTGAGACTCTGTCTAAATGTCCTGGATATGAAAGGATATGAAAACATCCAGGTGTTCTATGCAACAGTACCTTTTGACTAATGATGGGGAGGTTGGGGAGGTGTGGGGAAATATCTTGCCATTTATGAGTGAACTACCTTAAATAAAAAATAAGCTGCTGAATTTTAGTTACAGCATAACATAGGCTTCTCTGACTATCAGTAGCAAAGCAACATGAATGCTGGAATGACAGGAATATCTTGTGATCAAATAAGTTAGTGATGTAAACCAATAGTCCTCACTTCATCAGAAGAGAAAAGAACAGATGTATCAAAGGTCCCTCTTGTTCAGCATCCTACTACCTGATTTTTGTGGAATACATGTAAGACATGAGAATTGTTGAGTTAACCTTTCCAGAAATATTTTTCTACTTCCTGCATCTGAATCCAGAGACATCTTCAATCACTGGCTCCTTAAGAACCAAACTTCCATGAATGTCTGCCTCAACTGCCCAAACTTGTGGTGCTCTTTGCTTGTCCAACAGAACCATCCATTGGCAGCTCTGATTCTGCCATTTTCTGAGGGATGCAGCTCCCGCAGACAGGACACTGCTTTCATGAGAGCCAGGTCTTCCACAGGCATAGTGCAGTTGTACCTGAAGAGATACTCCTCTAAAAGAGAGGGTTCCCAGAAGCCAGGAGCACAGACTGATTTCTGAAGGAGGTTTAAGCACCTAAGAGCCTTTGTCTGACTCAAAATCAACCTGAAAATCAACAGGGATGTAAGTTCTGTTATTTGGTTGTAAGGTCACCCCTACTTTGGTAATTTTACACAGGTAACATGCCTTTTACCCAACTATAGCAGCCCTTGCACTATAGTCTCTAACATCAACATCTTATCTCTTCTTGGGTATGAAGTTTTTAAGAAGGGGATAAGGTATTTTTGGAGTCACTTACCAGCCCCCACCACAGTGCATCTGCATAGGTTTCAAACTCTTCTTTCATCTCCACTCCATTAGCATCTTTTTCAGGAACATCTTTTTCAACCAGATAAACAAGAAACGAGGACAAGATGAGCGTCAAGAACCCGATGTACCAAGCAGTGATGAGCTCCTGCAAAAGAAACAGATGGACATGAAGGGGCTGAAAACATCCTCAATACCCACAGTAGCAGAGTAAACATCAGGAGGAGAGAGAAGCACACAGGGTATCAGCAGAGCTGTCACTGCTGGCTTGGTCACAGACCCTGCCCAGCCCAGCTCAGCACTCAGTGGGAAATAATGCAGAGATTTACAAGAATTATCCCTTACATGGCATCTTCCTGGGGAACAGCTCGGAGCAATCTGCAGTTGTAGTTCCGTGTAAAGCTGGGCTAAGGACGTAGCTGCACCCGTGACACAGCTGCTGCAGGCCTCTGTCCCTGACCTTGGCTCTTCACATCCCTTCTGCCCCTGGGCTTGGTCAGTCTTAGCCAGCAAATCACAGCTCTGCCCTCTCCCTCCCTCCAGAGAGCCACAGCTGCAGGATGTGGGTGGAAGTGGCAGCTCCACGAAACCCCTGAAGCTTGAGGAGTTTGAAATATTGGATAGTGTTAGGCCGTTTCCCATGAGAACAGTAAGGCTAATTGGATGTTCCCATGGACACAGCCTTGAGTTTTAAGGAGTACAAGGACAAAGCTGTTTGACTGTGTGCAGGTGTTACATTCCTAAGTGTTTTTGCAAGAATATGTTTATATTATGTGTGTGAGAAAGTAGAGGCGAGCGAGCTCAATAAAGGCTGCCTGCTACACTGAGCAGACTGACACCCCTTGTCTCATCACTCTGTTCGTGTGTTTTCAACATGAATTCATGCAATAAGAACAGACCTTGAAAAGCATCTGTGTGAAAACAAAACCTGAGCCTCCCTCTTTTAGGGAGAGTGACTGAAGTGGAGTATGTGTCTAATCCTACTGAGGTGGGAGATGAAGCTACCCAAGTTAAAATCCCAACAATGTCTGAAACAAAGAAGAAAAAAAATTGGTGAAGTTCTTCAAAAGTGGGTAAAAAAAATCAATATTCCACTTAATTTGATGAGAACTGTATTGGAAGAAAAAAAAATAAAGCATTCAAGCTGAGAACTTCAAAATTGAATCTTGAGATAAGTGAACTTTCTCAGCTAATTTCTGGTGTGCAATCATAGAAGAAAACTGTTAGCAAAATTGTTTCTTCATTGTCTCCAATAAAGCAAAGTTCTTAAACCCCTTCTTATCTCTCTGAGCCAGCTGAGATCCAAGGGGTGGTGGTGGGCAACCAAACAAGCAGCATGTGAATGAAATTCCACAAAATGAAGCCTTAAACAATTCCTAAACAATGTCTTTGCTACAAACTTCTTCCATGATCTGTTTACCAGGAAACATTTTTGACTCTGTTTATGTGCCACCTGCCTTGTAGCAAGTTTATACAGGGAAGGAACAGAAGCTGGTAAGCAATGAAGCAGGGTGGGTATCCCCATCAGCCACCATGCAGAAGCAAAGTCTAATTATGCTGTACCAGCTGGCATTTTAATTTTCAAACCCCTCTAAAATGTCAGGAATGTCACTCATGGATAAGAAATAGCAGTATGTAGCACAGAGTCTATGTAATTTTTTTACACCCTTTGCAGATGAGAAATCTTATCTAGAGGATTATTATGCAGATAGTTTTTAACTTGTAATAATGTTTTGTGAAAATGCAAGAACACAAGTATCTGTCTGGTGCGAGACAGGGTGTGTCTGACTACAGCATCTAGTTAGACCAAAGAAAGATGATTTTAGAAATTTTCCCTGTCTCAGTTCACACTGTGTGCATTTCTGTATTGTCTGACCCATGCTTACACAGAAAAATTTTACCAGTAGCTCACTCTGAAACCACATTTCTGCTAATCAGCCTCTTGCCATCCCTTTGGAGTCCTGCTCCATCTGTTGATCAGACAAGTCTGAGAAGCCACTACAAACACGTTGCAGCTTCGCAGGCATTTCTGTCAAAAATTTCAGCATCTTTCACCATTAAAGGGTTGTCCCCTCATTCAGTGTAAAGGCAAAATTCCTGTTGTAATGTGTGGGAATGAACATACTCTCCCTTCCCAGCACCACTATTGAGTGGAGAAGGGTAAAACAAGGGTCAGAAATGGTTCAGAGAAAGGAAGAGGGAATAAAACTTAAAGAACAAAACTATTTTTGTAACTACTAAACATAATCCCAAGGCATTGCTGTACCTGTGTATCCCTTCTCTTTTCCCTCAATCTTTCTCCCCAAGCCCCAGCTGAGCCCTGCAAGCTCCTCACTTACTTTGCTATGTGCACAAATAGCTGATCCTAAAAGTTTCCAGGTGCCGCCCCGCCTGTCCATTCGGAGCATCCGTAGGATCTGAAGGAAGCGGAGGCTTCTGAGAGACGTGGCCAGAACATTGCCCTGGTTCCCAACAGCAACCACTGGCACTGAAGCAATCAGCACAAAGATATCTGCAAGGTGAAAAGAACAAAGCCTGCCAACGAGAGTGGCCCTATCACCTGCTTCTTAATCCCATCCTGTTGTGCTGAAAATTTCCCATGGCAAATTTTGAAGCTGCCTGGAAATGCCTGCTCTTTCCAATTAAACAGATATCTGCACCTGCCACACAGGCAGCATCACAAACAAAACCTACCGGAGAGCCTCGCCATCTGTTTACAGATTGATGCACTGGACTTGAGACTCTGTCTGAGCCTGCTTAGGGATGCACAGAAACAGCGTCCTAAGGCTGACAGAAAAATAGACTTTTATTCATCTGCACCACAGGAACACCACAGTGAACAGGTCAGCAGACGAGAAATTCAGTTTTGATGGTACATCTAGTATTTGATTCTTTTGGCTGAGTTTTCCCATTAAAATCTCCAAGCCAGTGCAATATTTTTTTTGTTAAGTGCTCACAGGACCAGTCTGCTGATCAACTGAAGAGGTTTGAAATGCAAAATCACATCACTTCTTGTTTTTTTCTCTTTTCCTTGTTTCCCTCTTGCTTTTTGGTCCTATACACATACAAGAAGAAAGTGGTACCAAACAGCTTCAAACATGCTCTGGGCATGTATAAATAATAATATATAATTTAGAATAACATAAAATTTATAATAATATAAATTGTCTTTGTATTCTATTTCCAGCCAAAAAGAGGGAATTTCAGATTTATTCACTTCCAATCATTCTCAAAACAAATTTGCAGCAGTGATAAATGAGAGATGATATTAATAAGTCCAAAATATTTTCTGTTCTTTACCCAGATATCAATGAAGATCCATTCTCAGAAGTGAGATGGCAATTTTACCAAGAAAGCATGAGACAGGGTCAATCCCATTTGCTCACACCACACTCTGCTGACTTCACAAACCTATTAGAAGTATAAGATGTATCTATACAACAGTAGAACATAAAGGAGCACTACCAAATTGAGGATAGCATAGATGCACAAACAAAATTTGTTACAATTTTGTCTACAATTTAGACCCAAGAGGTGAACAAAAGGAGGGCGAGGGAAGAGAGGTGTGTATTCATGTGGCACCACAGCTCCCCAGAGTGCTGTGTGCTGTACAAATGAATGAATGGGGACGTGCAAGACAGGTGCTTGGGAGTGAGCCCCTAAATACTGGCTGGTTGGTCTGTGGTTATGATGAGGAGTTGCAGGAGGGGATTCAAACATGAATAATGAGTAGTTTTATGGATAGTAATAGGCAGTGCCTTCCAAGCCTGAAAGACTTGGAAGATCACAAAGATACTTGTTTGCAAATGCAGACTGACAATACAATGGTAAAACACAACACAAACACGAATGAGGGCTGAGGAAGATGGGATGGGGTTGGGATCTGAAGTCATTTGAAACTGAAGGCAGAGAGAGTCTTTTTGGGGATGAGTTTAAGAAAAATGCAGTGGGACTCAGGACAAGGACAATGTGTTTGAAGAGTAGAACGATTCATTTTTTTTCTCACTGACTAGATACCCAAGTGTCTCTCAAATTAATTATTGCTGGCTACTTCAAAAAACTACTCCAAGCAGGACACAGGTCCTAGCATAAAGGGCAGACCTGATTTCAGTGCTCTTTGCACTGCCATTCACCAGTTCTTCGACATTCCCCAAAATGGCTTAGAAGAAAAAGGACAATAACAGAGAAAATAGTAGTAGAGAGCTTGTGCCTACCCAGCATGCACAAAGGCTTCCTGGCAAATTTGAGTCTCCCCCTCCATCCTTTGTAGCGACAGCAACAGCCAGCAGCCCAGATTCTTAAGGCAAACTCTGCTCCAAAGATGAAAATGGCAAAAGTTTCCTGTATCAAGACACAAACTACATTGTTAGTCTTATAACAAGTTTTGCAGTAATTCTGGACGGAAGGTCCCGAAGGAAATAGCTGAAGGAAATGATGCACAAGTGTTAGGATATGTGTGAGAGAGAGAGGAAAATAAGTGGAGGAAGAATACAGGTTGATGAAAGAGGCAAGGCAAAGTGGGAAATGCCTTTCCAGCCTTCTAAATAGCCTGCAGGAGGAATTTGCCCCTGCTGTTGGGTAAATGTGAAGTGCTCACCCTGCCTTAATGTAAGGGCAATTACTTCACAGAAAGACCTCATTCCACACAAAAGGGGGAGATATATGTGAGTGGTGACTGCAAAGTCCTCAGTGCACTCTATACCCATAACCCAGGATTACCCACCAGCAGCTCATTCATGCAGCCATATCTATAGAGACAGGACAGGACACAGTATATTCATAGGGTCATAAATTTAAGGCAATGATAAAGACATATATAGGACAAATTTAAGGCATGTATTGTTCCCCTAAATTTTTGGTGGACAAAAAAATGGGATTTTCCACCTTGCTCAATAACCTTTCTAAGTTTGGGGAGGGAATGGGGAGGAGAGGGCTTCTCTGAGGTGCTCAGCAGAGATGGGCCAAGGGCAGCCTGGGCACGTGGTTACTCTTCCTCTCTGTGAAGAGCTGGCAAGGAGGAAGGGGGCACATTTCCTCATGCTCAAACCCAGAGCTCCTGGATGCTTCTGAAAAACGCTGAGAGTCACATACAAACAAGCACAGGAGGAAGAAAAATAACCTCAGGCTTTTTCAAAGGTGAAAGATGGGCTATAAGCAGGGTAACAGAGACCAAAAGCAAGTTTCACATTCCCTAAGGGATGAGGGTGTTTTCATATAGGCACTTTTTGAGAAGGAACATGCAAGGGGAATTCACTTTTCATTCCTTCTGGCATTTTGCTGTTGCTCAGATATACGTGCCTCTGGGGGTACAAGGGGAAAGACAAATTGAGACCCCGAAATTAATTTTGCTGGGGATACTTTAGACAAGGACTGGTTAAGCGAGATGTCGTGCTCTCTATTTCATGACAGCTATGGGAGAAAAGGAAGTTCACTGTTAAGGTCATTTTCATAAAACTTTGAGTATGACATGTTTATACTTAGTGTGGGGGGTGTTCTCTACTTTTTAACTCTTCTGCCAAATGGGAGGCCTACAAAATAAAGTCTTGAGCATGAACTTCAACATTTATAGAACCAGCATTCTGGAATACACAGACAAAGGAGTGTATTTGCTGCAAATATATTTTGTCTCAGAGGCACTGCCTGCAACAATTTCAGTTATGCTGTTATTTGGCACAAGCATGAGTCTGATTCTGATGACCTCCCTTGAAAGAAATACTGGGATTAGTAGACTACTATAGAGAGAATCAAAATATTTGAAAGATCCCCCCAAAAAATAGTTTTCAAATGTGCTTAGGTCTGGCATGGTTAATAGGAAATTTACTGATAATTTGATGGAAGGACTGTCAGGCAAATGCTCAAAATCCTCAGGCTGGTATTTTTCCTCTCATTTTCTTTTTACTCGGGAACCTCACTTTCTTTTTAATCAGTTGTTGTTGACGATGGACTGGGAACTCTTCAGTAGGTAAGTGTATAGTCACTGCTCCAGGACCAATGGCAGAAACCTTATGACATGCAGAGCTGGGAGTAAGTTTCCATCCCTGCTGATGGGGCTGATTTCAATTCAAGGGCGTTACTGGAGTGAAGCACCAGCCACAGTCTACTTACCAGCAAGAGAAGCCAGTCTCCAGAAACAGTTTCATACTCCTTGAAAGTTGTCAGGACAGCTAAGATCAAACACCCCAAGACAATCAGAAACCTGGAATGAAATAAAAGAAAAAAACACAGCATTGTTACCCCTCTCTGTATTTGAATTGGAGATATTGCCTATAAAATCCCTCAGGGGATGACCCCTTCCTATTTGTGAGCAGAGAGGAGGGCTGTCATGGTTTGAGAGCCCCAAAATACAATTCCCTAGTTCTAGCCCCCCTCCCACATTTCAACCCAGTGTGAGATGGGTTTTCCAGACACCACACAAGACTAAAAATGGGGGGAAGGGATTATATATTACAATGACTGTACAAAATAAATACTACAATACATTATATACAATCTTAACTATCTCTACCATGACATAAAAGTATTTACAATGGATCAAATCTCTTCTCCCCTCCAAATAAAAGTCCAGGAGGGAAGAAGGAAAAGACCCTTTCCACTCTCAGAGCAGCATTGTCTCTAGGGCAGCAGGCTATCTCTTTTCTTCCCTACAGCAGCTGTAGCTGGATCTCTGCCAGCACACACGAGGGGGTATCCAAGCCCCTCGGCCCATCATCTCCAAGTGAGGGTCTTCTCTTCCGTAGGCTGTGTTCACCTGGACAAAGGTCACTTCACCACAGTGATATCAATGAAGTACAGAGGTCTTTGTGACGGTCCGTATCTGCAGGGGATTCAAGCCCCCTTTGCAGAGCTCTGTGCTCTGTTTCAAGGCAGCGGCGGGGGGGGGCAAGGTCACCCCCTCCGCATTCCTCCTCTGAGCTTTTCAGCTCTTCTCTCTGGTGCTGCAGCACTCCAGAACTCTTCTCAAGTAAGAGTCCATCCTCCTCCTCTCTCTAGGAAGGGTCTCAGAGGGGTTTGGGGTCTTTTGGTTCAGTTCTTACCCCAAAACTCTGTCTCTATCTGTAGAGCTTAGTCCTGCTCTCTCTCTGCTGCTGGCTTTGTCTCTCAGATAACTCTGTGTCTTCCTGCTCGGCTGCATGTTTGTTTACCGCTTCTTCAGTTCTTATCTGTTGTCTCTCTGCCACCGTTTCTCCGTCCACTGCTGCTCTGCCACCGCTCCGTCTGCCCACTCACAGTGGAGAAAACTTCTTCACCTTTCAGCTACAGACACTTAGCCCAGTCTTACACTGTTCCAAGTCCCTGTAGCCCCCCAACCAGGGGTTGGGGGGGCCAGAACCCCCAACGGGGCTCCTGCCCCTTCTCCTCGTGGCTCTACAACATGGCTACTTCTTCTACAACTACTACAACTACTTTCTCTTCCAGTCCTCTTGTGATATGTTTATATTTTGCAAAAGCGCTCATTGGCTCAAACTTTAAGGGTCACCACCCCCTGGGAATTTACCATTTTATAGCTTCAGGGGGAAAACTGTTTCCCCCCACCACATGGGCTTTCATGAAGATCAAGGATTCTCAGCCAGGATGGAGCAGGGGAAACTGGCAGTGATGGCAAGATCCTAAATCAGAATATTCCTGGAACAGACATGCATTAATTAACTCATTTGCATTCTTCGAGAACAAAATGGGTGATACTGCATTTTTTGAATGAATTGTATGATATGGCAGAGGAGTATATTGCTCAGGATGTCTGTTCCAAGCTGACGTGCTGTGTGCTTCCCAGAATGGCACTGCAGTTACAGTGGAATGAATCTACTTGGCACTTCCTGAGACCTGGGAAACAGTAAACGCTTCTTTACAATGCAGCACCAGGACAAACCCTCCCTTGAAAACTGCACTGCATTTCTTTTGTTTTTTTTTTCTTTTTCTTTTTGCACTCATTTCTATGCAGATGAAAAGACGAAAAGGTTTGAAAGAGAATAGGAGAGGGTAAATTTCTGCTCTCCAGTAAACACAATGCATGATAAATCAGTCTGTCTGTGAGGCTCCAGAATGCAGAGATTTGACTGAAAATTTAACTCCCACTGCTGGTAAATCCACTTCAACCTTGTTGATCTGCTATTCCCAGGGTCAAGCTATTCAAAATCCTTTATATACAAAGAGGTAAAAAAAAAATCAAGGGAGTCTCATAAGTGATTACTGTGAAGCAGAGTGGGCAAAGCTCATATTCTGGTACTTTGTGTACCCAGATCATGGGCATTTTAATGTGCTTCCAAAATCTGATCCACAGGAACAGAGGGGCAGGTGGCCATAGAAATACTTTGAGTTTAGTAAATAAATTGGAAGTATGTCTCCATAAAAGCTCTGGATCCCCTGCTTTCATAGCTAGGGTACATCAAAGAAATGATAGGCATAAGGTACTGAAATCATCCAGGGGAAAAAACTTGTAAGGAATCAAGCTGTGTTTAGTCTGTACTACCTATTTTGAATTTCAATCTGATACCTGTAGTGTGATTTCATTTCTTGCTGAGTAAAACTCCACTTTGTTTCACTGGGTGAAATGAGCAGAGCACAGCCTGCAGTGTGGAGGCAGCGTGCGAGGGCTCAGCTCAGAGACACGTGTCCTCTAACCTGCCTCAGGTTTTCATTTCCTTCATGTATGAAAAAACCTAGGGCTAGAGAACTGTGTTCTGAGAATTTGCAACTTCTTTGCAGGTGGAGTAAATGACAGAGTTGAGCTCCAGATAAGTCCTGCTGCCTTTTGGGGGGGAATTTCCATCCACTAGCAACCTCCATGCAAGGAAAAGACAACAGTGAAACACTTCACAGCAAACCCTGAAGGATTACTTTGCTGTGGCTTTCCTAAAATTAGCTGTTCAGACTAAAGTTTCTTATGCCAGGAAAATTTCAGATCAGCCATTCTGAGCAAGTTTAGAACAGAAATAAATGTGTTTTCTCATGCTAAATAATTTTTAATTTCTTTGACAAGTTTTGCCTTTTTCCACTCACCAGACACGCTCCGGAGCATGAGTTATGTAGTTGGTAGAAAACAGCTGTGGGGTCCAGAATGTGTCTTTTTTCATCTACCTATAACCACACTCCCACTGCTCAAGACATTTGGCCTTCACTTAGCAATTCTGTGATGCTCCTCTTATGTCCTCAAGCTTGATTTGTCACACCATACGTTGTTGTCCCCACTTTGAAGTTATGAAACCAGTGGCTCTCTGGCTTGTCAAGACTCCTAATCCAGCTATTCTGCAACTCCATGAGCAAACTAGTGAAACCTCAACCAAGACAACAATTCCTTTGATTATCTATAAAGTCTTGATCTGCCACATTACAGTCATTACAGTGGTACCATCACTAACACTTCACTTAAAGCCTTGAGCAGCTGCCTCTTGGTACTTTCCATTACAGACATTTCTTTATATCATGTGAAAATTCAGTCACCCATCAGCTCACAGCATCATTTAAATGATTTAATGAAACATGAAATACACTGAAAACAGTCCAAGGAAATTACATCATTGCATTACATCATTAGCTACTTAAACTAAAGGCGTGAATTTCCCATATCATCCAACAGAACGCCACTGTCAATTAAAGATGTACAGATTTTTGCCCAAGAGGAAGACAGAAGATGTTAGTAGTGAAATCGTCATCATTTGCCTAAAAATGCCGGCGGTTTTACCACTAGAGGGTACCGGTGCTCCATAGAGCAAGGGGATAAGCTCGCTCTTGTTTTCCTTCCCCGTGAAACAGGCTCAGGGCAGGTGATGTTCAGGTGATCGCACCCATGTATTTGATATACAAGAAAAGGAGTCTCACGGTGGTGAAAGAGCTTTTTCTTGCTCGCTAAAAATCCTAAGTGTTGATATTAATGGACAAGGGGTGCTGTTTGTTTGATTGCTACCTGTGGCACAGCTCATGCTGCAAGATCCAGTGCACCAAGTGAGAGCCCACCCATGAAAACAACAGATCATGCAGGACAAAAGCTCAGTAAAAACCGGGTGAGAGAGTGATAGGAGATCACAATTGACAATGAATAATTTTAAGGTCAAATCTGAGCAGGGAGTGTAGTCTGAAACCCTTGTTGCAGGAAGTGCATGAATGCACCTCAGAGAAGCAATTGCTGAATTTGCAGTCCCCAAAACCACACAGACCACAGAGCCAGGCTCCTGCCCCTTCCTGCAGTAATCCGGGGTGTGAAGGGATGAAAAGCCTGTGTTTGTATACAGAGCTGCAATCCATCTTGGAAGGGTCAGCTGTTCTCCTGCTGCACCATTTCCAAAGGATAAACACCAACTGCAAACACCCACAAGTTAATCAACTCACATCTCAGAAATCCTTCCTGAGTGTTTGCAATTGCAACTGCGGTTCAGAGCACTCTGTGAATTTTATTTTGCATTGATGCTATGCAGCCCAGCCTCTAATGTTTTGGATCTTGGTGTTTGTGAAGCCTGCAAGTCTTGTGTCCTCTTTCTCTGGAAGATGTTACACAGATGTCATCTTTTCTTCATAGTCTCCCTTGCTCAGCAAAGATGATAACAAGGTACATCTTCCCCTTACTGCTTCTGCCCATACTGTGGGATTCATGGGACATAGGCACCAAGGGTTAGAAGAAAGAAATAGGGTAAAAATCAAAGTTTGAAATGAAAATTGAGTCCTATTAAGCCGAAGCTTACTGTTAAACAGTGTTTCAGCAGGTGGCAGTCCAGACTTCAAGACTGTAAATCACATATACCAAATAAGTACCTGAATGTGGTTCTTCAGCTTTTTAAAATTATCCTTGCTTTTATTTTACATAATTTTTCACAACATATTGCATTGTCCCTGTTTGCAGCATTATGCCTAAAATCTGATTACTTTGTTGTATGCATAAGTTGCAGATCACCAAATGGCAGTGCTCTTTTGTCACTGTCACACTAATATGTTTTTCTAGCAAATATTCTTAGTTTTAAAAATCATGTATTTAATACTCATGTTCTCTAATTATGATGTTTTGGTGTATTAAAAACAGCATTCCAAAACCAATATATAATTTTCCAGAAGAGAAGAAGTAATTTATGACTATGCATGATCATGGATCTAATGTTTCTTGGATGAGCTTCACAGACTGTTTTGTTTGGTAAATTTTTACTGATTTTAATATTTCCCATTTTTTGAGATTTTCTTCTCTATCAGCTTTCATTTGAAGCCAACAGAATG